TTTTTTTTTTTTTTGAAGCTATAAGAAAAGAAGCATCCAAAATACTTTCCATTGTAATATTTTTTTTATTTTTTTTTCATTTCTGTTTATTATCGTTATGTGAGTGACAATAAATGAAACTACAGTAGCGTGAAAAAAGTGGTAAGAAGCAAAAAAGAAAGTAACAGGAACATTTTGATGCGAAATTAAATAAGCATTATTAAAGTATTTAAAGAACGTAAGTTATGCTCAATAATCACCCAAAATTAGATAGTATTTTTATCTTTTTCTTTTTTTCCCGTTTATTATTTTCCTCTTTCTTTTTATTGAAAAGGAAAAGACAGAAAAGCGAGATTTGTTTGTGGAAAAAAAATAAAAGCGAAAATACTGTTGTTTTTCTTTGTTAAACGAAAGTGATAAAACGGAAGAAAATGAGAGTGATTAGGTGACATCAACAACTGGTCATTTTTTGCTGCGTTTATCGAGCCAAAAATCCGTTAATGTCACGCAAGTGACAAAGGGGTTTGGACAGTCGTTATAAAGGAGCAGAGCATATTTGGACAAAAAATTAAACTTTTTGATTAAGTAACTACACATTACGATAGAATATTCAAAGCATAAATTACCGTAAGCAGATGCAAAAATCATATGGAATGAGAATAAAATGAAGCAAATTTTGGATCTTGCTCATCTATGGTGACAGTATACTGAACAGTGGAAGATTGTGGTCTTTGCGCGTAAACTGGAAAACAGATAAAACATACTTTGTCCTTTGCCTCATTTCATTTTTTGTTTCTACTCCTCCACTTTATAAAAAGTATATTTACTGAGGAGCACTTTTGTTTCCATAAATTTGAGAATGAAAGTACCAGGAGAACAAAAATTATTCAGAACTGGGGTCAGAATTAACAGGAGAATGAAGCTGGGTAAAATAAATGTTAGGATGAACGGGGAAAGAAAAAAAGAAGAACTGGTAATACGAAACTTTTGAAATGTTGCACGACCTCTTTTCTTTCTTTAAATTGATCAGAAAAAACCTTTTATCAATTTTCAATGTTAGTTTTATTTTTTTACGATTGAAAAGTTGTGTTTTTTATTATGCATCTGAAGAAAAGTTGATAATAATTAGTCAGAAATTTGTTGTTGACTTTACTAGTGTTGCAATTCCATTTAAAACTTTTGTTAGTATTTTTTTGCTTGTTTTTTTCAAACAACTTTTTTCAGTAATTATGAAGAAGGACGAAGAATAAAGATGCATAACAACAGAATTTTATCTATATAATATTGTAAAATTGTTGTAAAAAGTTTTTCTTTTTCTTTCTCTCTCATTTTTCACAGTTCAAAAAAAAAAACTGTAACGAAAGGATTTTTTTCACTTGTTCTCATCACCGTGTTTTTAAACATAGAAAGTGACATGGGTTTATCGACCACATGTGTGATTAGTGTTTAGTTGTTTTTGGCTGACAAATATAAATAGTCTGGTTCTTTGATTCTTCGTTTTTTTTGACTCTTAGCTGTTTAAGTGACATAGTTTTCTCAGCAACAGATATGTTTTACTCCTCCTCTCTGCAACTTGGTTTTTTTCTTAATTTTTCAAACTATAAACACCTAACATCGATTAGCCATTATATCTGTCAAAAAAAGTACAGTAGAAAAAAATTTTTTACAGCTTAGAAATTTGATTGGTGCATTGTATCTGTTCTGGTAGCAGTAGAAAAATTTTTTTGTTATTGATTCTGAACCATACCCACCATTGACGTATATTCAGAGTCATTGGAACAATATTACGAATTGTTTTGTTAACGATAAATCTTATTTGAATTTTTATTGGTTAATCTTTTGTAAGAAAAAAAGTTTCTTTATTTCTTTTTGAATGCTCCTCTTAAAAAGATCTGCAAATATTTTGTCACAGTTATTCAGCGTGCCAGCGGTCTATCAATAATAATTAATTGTTACATCGATCATGCATTTTTTTAGTTTCTGAATCACATAAAGTTTTATTTATCTTTTAAATAAAAAAGAATTACCAAAACAGCCAAAAAAAAAAAAAAATTGGGAGGACACTGGTACCCGGTCTCGCTAGTTCAGTTTAACGATAGTAATTCATCTGAATAGAAAAAAAACCTTTGGTTTTTGATAGGATATAAAATTGTCCATTAATTTATCCAATAACCTAATTTTACCACCTCTATTTTTTCCTTTCTGCTCACCTAATTTGAGTTAAATGCCGCCGAAAATTCACCGTTCTGACGGTGGCAAATCACTAAACAACTTTTGAGCGTAACTTTTTTATACTAAACCTTTTTCTCTTGACATACCAAATTCAACGAATATTTTTTATTTTCCTCAAAGCAGTTTATTGGTGGTCCCAACAGCAATTATGTTGTTTCCAAAAATCAACAATCATGGTCGGTTTTAAGCCTGCGGAAAGCGGCAAAGAATAATTTATTTTTGAGAATGTCTACCACTACTGATGTTTCGTCAAAGAGTTCAATATTTTAGCAGTATCGCTATTCCGGTTGTATAAAGTTCAACAAGGCAGGAACTA